CTTGGGAGGCTGAGGCAGGAGGATTCCCATGAGTTTGAGGCCAGACTGGGCTACAGAGAAAGACCCTGTCTTTAAAAAAAAAAAAAGGAGGGACTTTGTCTCAAAATAAAAATAATGAAAAGGATGGAGATTTAGCTCAGTGGCAGAGCACCTGCCTAGCATGCATGAATCCTGGGTTCCACATCCAGAGTCACAAAAATAAAAATCAAAAACAGCTACTGGGGACAGCTGTGTGTGAGCCGCTGGGCCCAGCGCTGAGGATGAAGGGGTGGTGTGGGGTGACTACGTGGATGTGACTCCCGCCCTCTGTCTAATACCGTGGGCAACCATCGACTTGCAGTTACTTTGTGTCTTCTACATTCACTGGATCATCACCCCTCCCTGAAATATTAATTTATAGCCTAAACATACTAGGTTTATTGATTTACTTTCTTCTGCAACACTGGGGATTGAACCAGGCCCCAGGCTGAACCGTCCAATCACCTATCACCAAGCCCTAGCGCTGCCACGCTCCCCACTGCCCGCCAGCAGCACCACAGGCTGGCTGTGCCCACGCTCTGGCCTGGAATCTGGCTGGGCCTTCGTGTTCCTTGTTTTTTTTCCTCTTGTCACCTAAGGGCCTTGGGAAAGGCAAGGCTTGGGGCTACACCCGCTGGGGCCTCAGGAGCTCTGTGGCCCCTGCTGCCCTGCTAGAAACCAGCATGCAGTACTGAGTGGACATGGTGCCCATGCCCTGTCCCTTAGCAGCCTTACTCCTGGGTAGAAGTCCTATGGGTACCTAAGGAGACGTGCATGAGGCGCCCCCTGCAGGCTGACTGCGGTATTGGGGGCCCCGAGATCATCACAGGCGGACATGCGGGATATCGGGGTTGTTCGCAAAGCAAGTTTATGCAGGAGAGAGAGAGGCAACTGCGTGTTGTACAGAGAAGTGAAGTTTAACTGATGTGCAGTGAAAAAATTGAAATGCAAAATAAAGACTAGCATAAACACGTTTAAGTGAGAGACACGGTTGTGGGAAAATACTGCGGAAAAAAAAAGTGTGTGTAGAGACAGTCGTGCCTGTGCGAGAGGTGTGAGGAGGCCCAGGCTCGACTCCCAGCTCCGCCGTGACCCTCCGTGAAGCACAGGAAGCTCCTCTCCCCGCCGGGCCCGGTCCTCTCATCTGTGAGAGGAGATTAATCACAACTCCTGCCCTGCCCACTTCTGGGACCAGAGGAGATAAGTCGATGAGCAAGAGCGAGCTTTCAAAAGGAAAAACAAGCGCTTCCGTGTTCCTGTGCCTGCTTTCAAGTGCCTTTCCGAGTACGTGTGCGCGTGTGTCGTACTGGGGATTACACCCAGGGCCTCACGCAAAAGTGCTACCTCGGGCTGGGGATTTAGCTCAGCGGCACAGCGCCTGCCTGGCAAGCGCGAGGTTGTGAGTTTGATTCCTCCTACCGGAAAAAAAACAAAAACAAAACAAAACAAAAAAAAAACCAACAAAAAAAAAGCGTGCTATCTCTGAGCTACACCCCCAGCCCTGCGCGTGTATCTTGCATTTGTATCTCTATATGTACACACACACATGCACACAGATACACAGAGTAATATTATGTACAGGGCTGGGGATGTAGCTCAGTGGTAGGGTGCTTGTCTAGCATGCACAAGGCCCCGAGTTCAATCCCCAGTACCACCAAAATAAAATTATACATGTATACATCAAGTGTTACTCTCTCTACACAAATATGCATACACAACCATACATACAAACATTTCCAGCAGTTTCTGTCAAGTAAAAATATGATGCTGTGTCCTCATCCGCCTGATTCAGTAGATCTGTCACCACGCAACTTCTGGCTCTTCCCGCAAAGCCAAAATGTCTGAGAAAGGAAAACTTTTTGAATCAATTCAGGGCATCAAGACAGCCACAACAAAGCCACTAAAGACACTCACAAACAAACTCACAAATGAGGACTGCCAGGATTACTTCAGAAAGTGGCAAGAATGGGGCCAGGAGCCGGGCGTGGTGGTCGTCTGTAATCCCAGCACTCGGGAGGCTGAGGCAGGAGGATCGTTGGGAGTTTGAGACCAGCCTATGCTACAGAGTTAGCTCAAGGCCAGCCTGAACTGCATAGCGAGACCCTGTCTCAAAAAGACCAAAAAAAAAAAAAAAAAAAACAAAACCATGAGATGGAAAAAAAAAAGAATAATGATTTTGTTTTTTTTTTTTGTTTTTCTTTTTCTGGTATCGGGAATTGAACTCATGACCTCATGCTTGCCAGGCAGGCGCTGTGGCGCTGAGCTAAATCCCCAGCTCCCCAAAAAGAATAATGATATATGTGTGTTCTAATTAAGGGGCACTATTTTGAGGGTGATTTATGGCAATGTGTCCTTTACTACAATTCTTTCTTACTTTCTTTCTTTCTTTCTTTCTTTCTTTTTTTCTTTCTTGTTTTTTTGAGACAAGGTCTCCCTGAGTGGTGCAGGCTGGCCTTAAATTTGCTTATGTAGCCCAGGCTGGCCTCAAACTCACAGTGATTCTCCTGTCTCAGCCTCCCAAATTCTGAGATTATAGGCGTGCACTACCATGCATGGTTACAATACTTTTTTTTTTTTTTTTTTTTTTTTTGTCTTTTTAAGATAAAGTCTCTCTATGCAGTTCAGGCTGGCCTTGAGCTCACTTTGTAGCCCAGGCTGGTCTCAAACACAACAATCCTCCTGCCTCAGCCTCCCAAGTGCTGGGATTACAGGCATGTGCCACCATGCCCAGCAACAATAAAGTTTAGATTTTCACCATATTTTTTATCACCTCATACCATATGGTATAGATTAACTAATGGTCAACTTGGAACACCCAGGTGAACTGAGTGAGCGTGGTTCTGGGTGTGGAAGACCCACCTGAGGACTGGTACCAATAGCATAAAAAGAGAACTAGAAGGGAAGATGGTGTGCTGTTCATTCTCCTGGAGGAGCTTGTCGCAGTGACTTTCCTGATATGAACTCAGCTGTTCTCATCGTTAAAGGAGCTTGAGTCCTCGCAGTTGCTGAGGATGGCTGCGGTTCTCTTCAGGGGAGCTCTGGTCCTTTCCCTGAGCATCACTTCCTGGCTCCAGTGCAGATCTCTCAGCCTGCTGGCACAGATCCTTCATCCCAATGGCACAGACTTTCTAGCTTCCACCACTGACCTTTAGGCCTTCCCAGTGCAGATCCTTAATACAGAATTGCATGAGACATTGTTGTGGGCTCTAGGCCTCCAGTTGGACTTTTGGAGGACATTTCTGGGGGATCCAGGCTCTCAGCTGGATCCTTTGGTCTCTAGTGTGTGGACAGATCACTTGCGCTATTCTGCACTTGACTTTTTGGATGAATATTATAAAATAACCCTACAAATTATGTGTTCTGCATTAAATCTGTTCCCTTGCAAACCCTGACTACAACACCACATATATGAAAATCTGGTCATACAGAGTCCACAAAAACATGGATACACACCTCAGCAGTTTGCCATAGTAATAAATGTCTGAAAGCTAACGGCCACCACTTTGAGCACCTCTTGTAATTGTAGAGACCAAAGGTAACTTGTATTTATCTCATGATGTCCCAATAAATTTAGCACTGAAATATTTACACAAGTTTTTCTTTACCTGATGTATCTTCTTTTTTTGTCTTTTTGAGAGAGGGTCTCGCTATGCAGTTCAGGCTGGCCTTGAGCTTACTTTGGAGCCCAGGCTGGTCTTGAAATGGCAAGAATCTTCCTGCCTCAGCCTCCCATTGAGTGCTAAGATTACAGGCATGCGCCACCATGCCCAGCCTTCTTTTTTTTTAAATTTTATTTATCTATTTATTTATTTAGGTACCAGGAATTAAACTCAGGACCTTGCACTTGCCAGGCAGGCACTTATGCCACTGAGCTATATCCCCAGCCCTTTTTTTAATTTTAAAGAGAAAAAAAAAAAAATCAAAACAAGATAGCAACACTGAGAAACAAGGGAGTCACTGTGTTAGAGAATCAGGGAGGGGCTAGGGATTTAGCTCAAAAAAAGAGAAAGAATCAGGGAAACAGGATAAGAAGAGTGGAACGACTTTATGGAAAAGGTGATATCTGAACTGGGTTTTGAAGTAGGTGTAGGAGTTTCCTCAATGGGGAGGAAGTGATTCCAGGCAGGGGAGAGCACACTTACAGGTCCAAAAAGCAAGCAGCAAGGAGAGAGGGAGCCATGATTTTCACCTTCAAGTACATGGTGGCCAGTGATTCTCAACTCCTTCCCACCTCGGTGAGATTAAAGGTTCTGGCCCATGCTGGTCATAACAGAAGTTCCGTTTAGGCTTTTCTTGTGGTGGGTTGAATCCGCCAGGGAACCAAAGTTTGTTCCCTTCAGAGGACACCCCCTTCTCACCTAGGAATGGAGGCCACAAATGATGGCCACCTATTGAATTTCCCAAAAAAGCTCACAAGCCTGAGTTGAGTTCGTTTGTCTGAGCCTATAGTTCAGGCTGGCCTTCACTACATAGCCCAGGCTGGCCTCAAATTTGTGGTGATCCTCCTGCCTCAGCCTTCCAAAGCAGGAATTGAATTTGAGGGCAGAGGCTGTGGCTGGTGTTGAGGCTGGGCCGAGAGTGACTGGTGCTCCAGTCCCTGTGAGAGGGTTCACACCTGCCCCGACCTCCACCTGGCAAATCTGTCTCGGGAGGGACTGCCTGCCTGGCAGGGGCTGGATGGAAGCTGGGGAGACGGCAGGTCACCTGGCTATAGTGCTGTCGGCTGTGACCTCAGCCTGGCTCTGCAGGCTTCTACCCTGCGCACGCCTGGTTCGCAGAGCAAGAGGACTGCTGTCCCCCGAGGCAGGGCAGGTGTGGCCGGGTCCTCACTGGTCGGCCTGGACCCAGGGCCACCTCCTTCCTCCTGGGCGTCTCCCTGGAGTGGGGCGGGGGAGTCTGGGCTTGTCCCTGGCAGAAGTGATTGTTTTCTTTGAACCCCTCCCTGGCAGGGCCAAATCCTGGGGCCCACAGAAGATTCAGCCCCCAAACCTGTCCAGCCAGTCGCAAGGGAGGAGGGGGCACTGGGAGGGGCCTCTAGGATGCCAGAGGCGGTGCCCCCGGCCCAGCACAGGCGGAGCTGCGGGGGCCGCAGACGGACGCTGCGGAGGAACCTGAGCACAGATGGGGACAGGTACCCGGATGCTCCGCCTGGCCTTGGGGCTCAGCGGGCCGCCCCTGCTTCTGGCCCCACTATGGCTGCTGCTGACCGGGGTCCAGCCCGGGACTGGTGTGGGTGAGTGACGCTGGGGGTTGGGGCAGCGGTCCCCCAAGCTGCGGGCATCAGGAGGACGCACCCTTATGCCGACGGCCTCCCGAGCCCCTCTTCTGGCTGGGGACTGGGTCCTGGGTAGGTGAGGGGACACCGCCTGCCGAAGGCAGTCACGAGACCGGCACCTGTCCCTTCTCCCTCTTTCTGAGGGTCTCATGGCCTAGGCTGTCCTCCTTCTTCTCTGTCCTGAACAGTGGTTTAAGGAACTCTGGGGACCAGCTTGCTCGGGAAGCCCATGGAAGCCCTGTGAGGAGCCTGCAGGCCCCTTCCTGCCTCCAGCTCCGAGAGTAGCCGGGCTGAGGGAGAACAGTACCCCGACCCCTGCTGCCCCTGTCCTCATCCCCTGTTAAGCAAACATGAGGCACCTGTTGTATACAGCATGGCCTGGGGCCCTGAGGTAGGACTAAGAGCTTTGAGGAAGGAAGAATCAATCCCCGCTTCCCTGGGCTGGAAGGTTCTTGAAGGTTCTAGGCTGAATCATCAGAGTTAACTCAATGGGAATGAACTGTATGGGACTGAACTAAGAAGTGCGGGGGTTGCTGAACTTCACGTAAAGGCCCACTTTTCTGCTGTCCCGGTGTCTGGGGCTGGGGAGAGGCGGGGGGGATGCTGTGGGGGTCTCTGCATTCCAGGAGGACGGGGGTCCAAGGTGGTAAGGCTGGGCATGGCCGTGTTGCCCATCCCGAGTCCCCCCGATGTACGGTACTGTGAGGAATGGGGGTGTCCTGAGCAGAGGGGACCTGGGGCATGACGGGTGGTGACGTGAGGTGGCAGAGAACGGGGTGGAGAAAAGAACAACATCCAGACCGAGCCAGTCTCTGCCCCAGAGCCACTGGTCCCCTCTGGCTCGTCCACGCCCGGCCTGGGGAATGGGCGGGGGACCTTTCTGGGTCACCCCCTTCTGAGCAGGTCTCCCCGCTCACAGAGCAGCCATGGGAGGAGCTGGAGGGCCTCTCAAGACCACTGGGCATGTCAGGAGCAGAGTCCATCCTGGGGCATGGGGTCCCCCACATCCAGGTCTCCCCCCAGCTCAGGAGTGTGAAGCCTGCAGGTGGGGGAGGAACCTCTGCCACCTCTGTCCCTAGGACACCCCAATGGCCCAGGAAGGGCGGGGTGGGGCCTCCCCAGACCTCCTGCCCTAGGGAACGTCCAGGGGCTGAGCTCTGGCCACCCGCCTTGACCCAGGCGTAGGTCTGAGACCGGCCTCTGCCCTCTGCCCTCCGCTCCTGTCCTCCCCAGAGCACATCCGCTACGTGCCCCGGCTCTCGGGCGCCACCCTGGCGGGGAAGCTCACCCAGTCCACCTTCACGCTGGAGCAGCCGCAGGGCCAGTTCAACCACACCAGCATCTCTGACTTTGACTCCATCTGGCTGGTGGTGGCCTACAGCAATGGTGGGTGTGACTGCAGCTGGCCTCAGTTTCCCCTCTGTGAGCCGGGCGGGCAGGCTTGAGGGGAGTTGGGGGCAGGTGCTGGGGGCACGTGGCCGGGGAGGACCGTCTGGCCTGCTGGAGGGGGCTGGCGCCCCACCTGGGCTGCCCCACCACCTGACCCACGATGCCACCTCCAGCCACCCAGAACTTCGTTGCCTCGCAGAAGCCAAAGGACATTCCTGTCCCTGCCACCTTCACCCAGAAAGGCTACTACTTCACGATGCCAGCCACCCGGCTGCACTACCCGAGCGGCCCAGCCGGCAGCCAGCTCCGTGTCCTCCGCGTTGGCAATGACACCCACTGTTCCCCCACGAAAGAGGGCTGCAACGCCCCCCTGCCAGACTCGGGACCCTACAGGTTCGAGGCTGAGATGGGGCTCCTGCCTGTGCCCTCGGGTGGGGGAGCCCTGGACAGCCCCTCCTGTCTCTCTTGAGTGACGGGCCCCCACCCAAGTCCCAGTTCCCATGGGCCGTCCGGACCCGCACATGGAGTGTCTTCCTGCAGACAGGGCATTCCGTGGGCGGGCTCCCTCCCGGCCCTGACCCCCACCAAGTGCTTGATCCACACACGTTTCCCAAAAGCAGGCACCGGGTCCCTGAGAAGCCACGGGCAGTACCTGGTCACACAGCTAGAGGGTGCTCCAGCTAGAATCCAGACCCTCTGGGCCCTGAGGCTACGCTATTTAGCCCCAACTCTCTACCCCATCCCAGCCCGCTCTCCCCAGGGCCTGGGAGTCAAGGGGTCAGGGCCCTGGAATCCCCACTTTCAATGCTGGGTCTCCCGTTAGGGTGAAGTTTCTGGTGATGAACGACCGCGGACCTGTGGCTGAGACAGAGTGGTCCAACGAGACCCGCCTGCAGCAAGGTGTGGGGCGCCCCCAGCAGGGATGGGGGCCCAGGGCCTGGAGGGTGGGCAGAGGGGGCCTGGGGACTAGGGCAGCCCCTAGCGGTCAGAGGCACACTGCCACACAGCCTGGGGGTGCCCCTCCCCCAGCCCGTCCGCACCCCTGTCCCCGGCTTGGGCACAGGGAGGTTGCTCTGGAGGCTGCCGAAAGATGCTCTCTTCGGTCAGATGAGATTTATTTTTTCCTGCTATACTGAGGATTGAACCCAGGGCCCTTGCACTGAGCTACATCCCCAGCCCTTATTTATTTATTTATTTATTTATTTATGTATTTATTTTTGTCTTTTTGAGACAGGGTCTCGCTATGCAGTTCAGGTTGGCCTTGAGCTCACTTTGTAGCCCAGGCTGGTCTCAAACTCACAACAATCCTCCTGCCTCAGCCTCCCGAGTGCAGGGATTACAGGCGTGCGCCACCACTCCCGGCCTAGCCCTTTTTTATTTTGAGACAGTCTTCCTGAGTCACTAAGTTGTCCAGCCTGGGATCAAACTTTCCATCCTCCCGCCTCAGCTTCCCAGAGTGCTGGGATGAAAGGCACGCACCACCAACATGCCCGGCTGAAATTTCCTTTTTTACCCATCATGCCTCCAGCCAAGGCATTCGAGGCTGTCCTGGGATCCCAGAGCGAGGGCACTGTGGTCATCATTACCTTCCTGTCCATCCTGCTGGCCATCCTCCTGGCAGTCGTTCTCGTGCTGCTGTACACCTGGTGAGTGGCAGGGCTGGGACTCTGGGGCCTCCCGGCCGTAGCCCCTGGCCCAGAGCCTCTCTGCTGCCCCCTGCTGGAGTGGGTTTCCTGGAAGGTCACAATGTACCGAGCAAGGGATTATCCAGGTTCCAGAGCCTCCAGGTCTGAGCTAGTGACCCGTCCTGCCCGCTGTGAAGGAACCAGGACCCGGTGAGGGCGCATGCGCATTGCCCACCCCTCAGCTTGTCCCTCTGCCCATCCCCCGCCTACTTTCTCAGCGGGCACCTCGCGCCCCCTGGTGGCAACCTCTGGAATTGCAAGTGGGGTGGGCAGCTGAATCGGGGGCCAAGGGACTCCCCAAGTGTGTGTGGGTGGGGTGCTTTCAGGCCAAGCGCTGGGCCTGACTGCAAGATCTGAGGCAGAGCTCAGGCGCTAGGACCTGGCAGAGAGGGTATGTGCAAAGCTTCCGGGAGGAAAGAAGCCGCCTAGCTGCTGCTGGGATTTGAAGTGGAGCTCCAGAGCTCCACGAAGGGGATGGTAGGGAAGTAGGGAGTTGTGGGGGCCGATGGGACAGGAGAGCAGCTGGCAGCCAGCAAATGCAGCAGATGCAGGGGCCTGCATCTCCCAAACCTCTATGAGCCTGCGGTGGGCCTGATTGGGGGAACTGGATTTTTAAAAAAATTTTTTCAAACCGGGCGTGGTGGTGCACCCCTGTAATCTCAGCACTCAGGAGGCTGAGGCAAGAGGATCGTTGCGAGTTCGAGATCAGCCTGGGCTACAAAGTGAGCTCAAGGCCAGCTTGAACTGCACAGCGAGACCCTATCTCAAAAGGACAAAAAATGAAAAAATAAATAAAAAAGTTTTTTCAGTACTGGGGATTGAACCCAAGGCCTTTGCACTGAGCTCATCCCTCTGGTCCCAGTCCCTTTTTATTTATTTTGAGACAGACTCTCTTAAAATTGCTCAGTTGCTCAGGCTGGCCTAGAATTTGATATCCTCCTGCTTCAGCCTCCCAGAGTACTTGATTACAGGCATGCATCACCACACCCAGCTAGGAGTTAGATTTTTGAGATTTAGAGAAACAGCCTATTTCCTTTTCATGAAAACTGCCCTTCCGGGGGAGCCTCAGTTTCCCCTCGTCCATGGGTTGGAGCACTGTGCAGCCTGGTAGGACAGCCAGCCAGGCCTCTGTTCACCATTCTTCTCCTCCCCCCACAAAGCTTTGACAGCTGCGGGAGCGCTCGCATCTCCAGCCCAAGTGAGCGGGAGAGCATGAGAAGATACAACACCCACCACATGTGCAGCCCCGCGGCTGAGCGGGGCTCCTGAGCGGCTCTGGGGTCCCCCAGCTGCCCCTTGGCAACCTCTCTGTTCCAGGCTGTACAGCCCGAGCCGGCCAGAGCCCTGCAAGTTGCAGAGCCCTGGGAGAGTTGTAACTACGAGGGGAGGGCGCCCTTACCCCCACCTGTAGGCTAAGGCTACGGGCAATAAATGTCCCGTGCTTGTCTGCAACATTGTACAGTTGGTCGGTCTTGTTGCTCCAGCTCTGCTGGGGAGGTTCTCAGGGGGACGCAGGACTGGGGGGAAACTTGGGGTTCGAGGCCAGTTGAGTCACGCCAGCCAAATGCAAATGCAGTCTTTCTCTGGGCCTCAGCGTCCCTATCTGTAAAACAGTGGCCTCACTGGGTGACTGTGAGGCCAAACCAAGGTGAGCATGTGACCTAGGAGAGAGGGTCACCCCGGAAAAGGGCCCTGTGTTCATTTCTTTTTTTTGTTGTTTTTTTTTTTTTTCCCCCGGTACTGGGAATCGAACTCACAACCTCAAGCTTGCCAGGCAGGCGCTGTGCCGCTGAGCTAAATCCCCAGCCCTAGGCCCTGTGTTCCCAGTGCCACACACAAAAAAAGAGTAGCCTCAGCTCAGGCCAGAGCAGAACCCTGTCCCAAACCCAGTCCAGGGCACCAGTGTTTACCATCATCTGATTTGCTCCATGCCAGGCCCTCAGGAGCCCAAGTTGGCCCAGGCAGATTCTGTCCTAGGCTGCCCCCTGCTGTTGGGGGACCACAGTGACACCAGGTGGCAGAGAGGCTTGGAGGTTCAGCCATGGGAGGGAGACAGGACGGGGGAGGTGGCAGCCACGGGCCCTGTGGAAGACCTCACCGTCCAGGAAGGAGGTTGGCTGGGTTCCTAGGCGCCTGCCTGGGGCGGTGAAAACGGCCAGAACGGTTTAGTAGCCACAGCAGATGCATCCGGCTTGTGCTATGGGGGAAATAAGTGCTTAAGTGCTGGGAGGGGGCAGTCAGGCTGGGAGAGGGAGGGAGGGAACAGGGACAAAGACTTCCAACTGCTGCAGGAGTTAAACCCTGGCCTCTCCACAGTTGTGTGTGTGTGTGTGTGTGTGTGTGTGTGTGTGTGTGTCTTTTTGAAATATGGTTTTACTATACAGTTCAGGCTGGCCTTAAACTCACTTTGTAGCCCAGCTGGCCTTGAACTTACAGCCATCCTCCTGCCTCAGCCTCCCGAGTGCTGGGATTACAGGTGTGCACCACCATGCCCAGCTTCCATAGCTTTTTAAGGACAGTGATGCACCCAGACTCGGGCTGGGTGATCCAAGACAGGTCACTTACCTGGTACTGGGGGTTGAACCCAGGGTCTTTGTGTTGAGCTACATCCCCAGGTCTCATTTATTTATCTATTATTCTGAGACAGGGTCTCATTAAATTATCAAAGCTGAGCTTGAATTTAGGATCCTCCTACCCTAGTCTCCCAGGGAAACTACATAAAGTTTCCCTTTATGTAAAAATTGAAGGTTGCTGAGGCATGAGGATCCGAAAGGACAAGCTCAGCTGGGCAATTTAACAAGAGCCTGTCTCCAAGCAAAAAAATTAATAAAGGCTGGGGATGTAGCTCAGTGCAAAAAAAGGTCCCTGGGCTCCATAGCCAGTACCACCACCAAGAAAAAAGCCGAAGTTTGAACCGAGTGCCCTGTATCCAGTAGAGCTTTCTGCACACCCTGTGGGGCTGGGCTCTGGCTGGAAACATAGGGCGAGCTGTCCCACGGGGCGAGTGAGAGCGTCTGCAAAGGTGTGGGCAGTCCTGGGGGGGCGGCGAGAGGGGGTGGCCCAGGACTGACACACCCTCCTGCACCCGAGCGCTGACGGGAAGATGGGTGAGGTGTTTCCAGAACCGTGGAACCATAGCCACGGGCCAGAGTCCACCAGGCAGGAGCAGGGAAGCCACCTCCTCCGGGCAGCCCTCTTTCAGGGCTGGGTGGAAGCTGCTGCTCCTTCGGTCTTGGACTGCAGAGCTGGGGTCCTCCCTGCTCCTCCCTTCCCACTCGGAGTCACCACGCCCACAACCCCGTCCTCCTCACTGGCTCACATCCGGGGCTTCCACCTGCTCCAGGTGGTGCCCTGAAGCTCCGCCTCCCTGGCCCTCATCCCTCTAGGGTCTCAGCCAGCTGACATGGGTGACAGTGACCCCCCTCCCATCCCTCAGAGGCCTCTGCCTGTCCTCGAGGCCCCCCATGCTCAAGGGCCACCCTCAGCCCCGCCCCGCCCCCTGATGCCCTGGCCCTGCAGGCCTCAGGCTGGACGCTGAGCAGACGCAGGCCAGGCTCTGTCCCTGGGCACGCGTGCCGTCTCCTACCCCAGACAGCCTGACCACCACCACCACGCAAGCCACCCACTGGGGACCTGCCTAGGGTGAGCCCAGACCCAGCGAGGCTGCTGCAAAGCGGGGGCGGGGTAGTGGGATTCACGGGGTCTTCTGGGGCTGGGGTCCAGGACTGACTTGAGGGAAGGGGTCAGCAGAGCCCCTGCCTGTTAATCTGGGCCGGCCCATCCCACGGAGCTGCCAGGACGAGGCACAAGGTGTGGCCTTGGAGGAAAAGTGACAGGTGGAGACATAAGGGACAGGCCAGGGCAGCTACAGAACCAGGCGGCTCCGCCAGGGCAGCAGGGCGGGGACACTGGCTCCTCCCACCGGCCACAGGGCGTGGCTGCAGCAGCATGTCCAGCCTCCAGCTCCTGTGGGACAAACCGGGAACAGAGACTCAGGACAATGATGTGGAGCTGTGAAACGACGCTCAGGAGCCATGTGTCCCCTCACATCAGCCTGATGCACAGATGTGAGGGGAGCCAGTGCCTCTTCCGCTGTTTTCTGCCACTCTGTAGGTGTGTTTGCTGTGTGTCAACTCTGTTATGTTTCTGTCTCTCCTCCCTGTTTTTAACCTTGACCAGCTATGGAGGAACTCATCACTTCCTGAGGGGAAGCTAAGCCGTCCCAGACACGGGCCTGACCACTCTGCACAAACTCCCGGCCACAGCAGAGGGTTGGCCTCAGTTCCAGGATTGGACCCCGTAGAGGTCAAGGGCAAAATGGAGTGGAAAGGCCGGGTGTGATTGTGCACACCTGTAATCTGAGCACTCTGGGAAGCTGAGGCAGGAGGATCATGAAGTCAAGCTCAGTCTTAATAATTTAATGAGACCCTGTCTCAGAATAATAAATAAGGGCTGGGGATAGAGCTCAGTGGCACAGCACCTTCCTGGCAAGTGCAAGGTTCTGAGTTCGCTTTCTGGTACCAAAAACATTTTAAATAAATAAATAAATACATAAGAGCTGGGGATGTAGCTCAATGCAAAGACCCTGGGTTCAACCCCCACTGCCCCCCACCCCCACAGGAGAAAGAAGGCTGGCGGAAGGGGAATCAGGACAGAAACTGTTCACAGTCCAGTTGCCCAAAACCACAGGTACAGAGAGGGTCACACCTGGAGCCCCCTCCCCTGCTGGCCCTGTTCCCAACCCTGTCCCCACCCTCTGGCCCTCCTGCAGACCCCCCACTGGCTCCCAAAGCGGAAACCAGGTCTCTGGTGCACTGTGATGGGACGTCTGCCTCTGCCATCCAAGTGTGTGTGTGTGTGTGTGTGTGTGTGTGTGTGTGTGTGTACCCCTTCTTTGTGATGGGGCTCTCCTGGGACTGCTGGCTCACACGCTGGGGTCTGAAGGGCCATGACTGGTGGGGGGTTGGGGGGAGCACGGCAAGAGAAGTCAGCTGTCCAGGCTACTGTAGCTCAGTGGTGAGCATTTGCCCAACATGCAAGAGGTTCCATCCCCAGCAAGAAAGAAAGAAAGAAAGAGGGGCTGGGGATTTAGCTCAGCAGCACAGCACCTGCCTGGCAAGCGCAACGTCGTGAGTTCGATTCCTGGTACCGGAAAAAAAAAAAAAAAAAGAAAGAAAAGAAAAGAAAAGAAAAAGAAAAAGAAATAAGGTGTCCAGGTATCTAGTGGGCAGGGTGGCTCCCGGTCTGACCTCATCTGACTAAATTTAAGGGGCTTTGCCCGGTGTGGTGGTGCACACCTGTAATCCCAGCACTCAGGAGGCTGAGGCAGGAGGACTGCTGTAAGTTCGAGGCCAGCCTGAACTGCATTGTGAGACTGTGTCTCAAAAAGACACAAACAGAGGCTGGGGATTTAGCCCAGCCGCACAGTGCCTGCTTGGCAAATGCAAGGTCGTGAGTTCAATTTCCGGTACCGGAAAAAGACAAAACAAAACAAAACAAAGACAAAAACAATTAAAAAACAAACTTAAGGGGGTCTGTTTCCACCCCAGGGGCACAGGATGCAGCAGCTGTGTCCCTAGAGTGGTCTTTCAGGGCTCCAGTGAGGACAGCCCAGGCTGAGTGGGTGGCTTCCTGCTAGGCCGCGATGGAGGCGGTCCCCAGTGTCCCTTGGGAACCTGCCGGCACTCAGGGTTGCAGGAGAGAGAATCCCTGCTTGCTGGGTGGTCTGTGCTGCGAGGACCCTAAGGACCATGGCCAGGCGTTCATAGGGGCCCAAATCTGGCCCCCACCTTCCCTTCCAGGCTGAGCGGGGCCTTCTCTGCAGACCCCGTGCCCTTTCCTTCTCCGGCCAGACCATCGGAGCTGCAAGGGCAAGAACTTCAGGGCACTCTCCTGGTCTCAGAGCAGGGTCTCCACCCATCCCAGGGGGCACAAAGGGACCAAAGACTGACGGGGGCAGCCGAAACAGCGGCAGGCGCTGGGACCAAGCTTGCCAGCCACTGCTGGTGACTCCAGCCTAAGCGGGAGGTGACTGACTCGGAGAGGCCGACCTTGGCACCGCACCTACTGTGCACCTGGGATAGGACCCAGCTACTCACGCGTGCGAGCCCTAACTGCACTTCCGGGGGTGGGGCGGAAGCCAGGGAAGAGGCGTGGTCAGCGCGGTGGGCGTGGGGGCTCGGAGGGCAGAGGAGAGACAAGACCGATCCGCACCTGTGCACCCAGAAATGTGCCGGCTGTTCAGGAGCAGGTGCCAGAGCCCTGAGGCAGCCAGGCCAGGCCGCCGTCCGGGGCTGCAGCTGGACCCTTGAGGAACTTTGAGCAGAGCCGCATAAGTCAGCCTTCTTTTTTTTTTGTAGTACCATACTGAGGATTGAACTCAGGGTCTTCATACTGAGCTACATCCCCAGCCCTACCCTTCTTTCTTTTTGAGACAGGCTCTCACTAAATTGCCCAG